TTGGTGAAAGCAATTAAGAAATACCTAGAGAATATAAAGACATCCCATGTTCATGGACTTAATATTATTTAGATGTCAGTGTTTTTCAAATTGGTCTATAAATTTAATGTACTCTTTCAAAATCTCAAATGGCGCTTTTTTTTTTTTGTAGAAATTTAAAGGCTGATCCTGAACTTTATTTGTAAGTGGAAAGGACCCTAAAAGGAGGAAACCAGCTTAAAGATGAGGAACAAAATTGACAGACTTCCATCTCTCTTTAATGAAAACTCTAGTACTGTCCTAAGTGTGGACAGATAAATAATAGAATAGAATTGAGAGTGCAGAAATAAACCCTCATACGATCAGTTGACTTTTCAGCAATAGTGCCAAACTAACTCAGTGTGGGAAGAGTAATGTTTTCATTGAGTGATATTTGCACAAGTCCGTATTTTCAAGTAGGAGAAGTTACATTGATTGTATTGAGAATCACTGAAGATGAATCATGGAACTAAATGTAAGACTAAAACTATAAAACTCTTAGAAGAAAACATGGAAATTTTTCTTTGTGATTTTGGGGTAGAAAATGGTGACAAAAGTTAAAAACATAAATATTTACCAGAATTAAAAGCTTTACAAATGATCCCATCAAGAAAAAAAAAAAAAGAAAGAAAATTAAATATAAAGGCAACCTATAGAATGTGAGAGATACTTGAAAATTGTATATCTGACAAAGATTTCACATCTGTAAAAGCTTTTATATTTCAATATGAAAAGAACAGCTAGAAGTTCTGTACAGTATGCTAGTTACTTTCTTATTGCTGTGACCAGATAATCCAACATCCATAGTTTAAAGGAGGAGAGGTTTAATTTGACTCATATTTTCAGAGGGTTCAGTCCAAGGCTGACGGCTTCATGGGGGAGACATGGTGGCTGAAGGGTATGTTGGAGCAAAGCTGATTCCTCATGATGACCTGGAAGCAGGACACAGGGAGGACACCAGGGAGAGAGACATACTTGGAAGGCACACCCCCGTAACCCCATCCTAACTCTAGGTGCAGTGGCTTGGTCTACGCTGAGTATAACGCCCTCCCCCACCCCATCATCAGGTCACTTCTCTAGGATTGTCAATCCAGTAGGTGGACAATTAAGATTACTTGTCATTCAGAGGCTCAGAATACCTGTTTCTCCAAAGAAATACTGATTACCACTGAGCACATAAAAGGATGCTCACCATCTTTAGCCGTTAGGGATATGCAAATAAAACCACCAGGAAATACTGTTTCATGCTCCTGGGATTGCTAAAGTGAAAAAGACAGCAGGTATTTTGAGAGCTTGGAGAAACTTGAATTATAACACACTTCTTATGGAAATGTAAATGAGATGTCCACTTTGGAGCATAGTTTGACACTTCTTGAAAAAGCCATAGATAGAGCTACCATGATACCTGGCACTTCTGCTTCTAAGTATGTACTCATCAGAAAGAATTCGTTTACAATAATTTCTGACTGAATGTCAATAGCAGAAATATTCAGTATAACCAAAAGATAGAGACAAAGCAAACATCCATCGATTGGTGAACAGATACGTAAAATGTGACCCATTCATACAGTGTAATATTTTTGGTCATAAAAATGAGTGAAGTGCTGATAGTTCCTATTATGTGGATAAACCTTGCAAACATTACACAAGAAGACAGTAACAAAGACCACAAATTGTAGAATTCTTTATATGAGAAATGCAGTCTAGATAAGTCTGCATGACAGAAAGTATATTAATGATATTGTGGATGTGAATAGAAACTGAACAGGGAATACTAATTTTTATGAAAATGTTGTAAAATTAGAATGAGGGTGGTTTCACACATAATCACAAATTACTGTCAATGTGGTAAAACCATTGAATTATACACTTCAGGTAAGTTGTATAGTAAATGAATTGTATCTCAGTAAATTATGAAATCAATGCATGCTTCTTGTTGAATAGTAGGAAAGTGCCAAAAATCATCAAAAGGAACAAATAATTTAATGATCTCCTATGTACCCAGAGCTAACATTTTTCTGTATTGTCTTTCTTGTCAATTGTATACAAAGAAGTCTCCTTTGGAGAGAGGCTGAAACAGTTCGCAGTTACTTGTACAAAATTCAGTTTCCTGCTTTTATTCATTGAATTGGGGAACTTTGTGAGCCTTTGGCTTAATCATTGCTTATTTATCCTTTCTCCTATTGCTGGATTTTAAGCTGCTTCTGGTTGATATGTAGTTCTGTACTTTTAGTTCATTTATATGTAATTATCACTCATCTTTATGTGTATATTTTATCTGAATTTTGGATATTTCTTTAGGAAAGTTACTTAGAAGTTGTGTAATTTCCTAAGACTGACATAAGAAATTGCCACAAATTGGATGATTTAAAACAACAGAAATTTGGTCTCTGACCATCTGGGAAGCGAAAAGTCTGAAATCAAGGCGTCTATATGGTTGATTCCATCTGGAGATTCTGAGACGAGTCCCTTCCATGCCTCTGTCCTTGTTTCTGCCTCCTGGAAGCCATTCTTGGTGTTCCCTGGCTGATTCTCTGTCACTCCAATCTCTGCCCCTGCCCTGCATCTTTCTCACTGTGTATCTTATTTCTCATCTTTGCTTATGATTTAACTCTAAATCCAATGGCCACTGTCCTTTAGTTGCCTTAATCTAGGGTGATTTCATCTCATGACTGTGTATTTCATTAGATTTGCAAATACTTTTCTCAAATAAGGTTATGTGCACAGTCTGAGGTGGATCTGTCTGTTGGAAGCCACCTTTCAACCACTACAGGAACAGCCATGTCTGGGAGAGGGGGTAGTTGTGGGAATCATGTAATCCTTGTGCAGTTACACTGGGGCCTTAGTGTATGCAGGGAATTAAAAAACAGTAATACAAAACTGCCTAAAAGTTGTCCTGCTTTTTGTTCTAGTCATGCCCTGGCAATTCTAACTGACATTAATGATAAATACTCCTCCTTCTTGGTGTCAGTGATCCCTCTGTCCTGCTACCATGTTCTTCATGCTTGGGAGCAGGATTATTGAGTAAAAAATAACATGAGTCTTTCCTGTTCTCCGGATATACATTTTCAGCTTGCTGTCCAGGGTGCAGAAATACATACTCCTTCCAGCTTTAAAAATGATAATAAAAACATAATAATATAAATAATAATATATAATTAATAAATAATATATTAATATACATAACAATAAATAATATAAATAAATCTTCCAACTTTTTAAGTAGAATTTGTCATAATTTTTGCTTCTCCTAGAGTTGACCATGTTAAACCTTCCAGTATTTATTTGTAATCTACTTTTACAAAATTTTAAAATATGGATATAAGTACTTCTATTTAGAGTATTTTCTTAATGATTTGTAGAAACTCAATACGTAACAAAAACAGGAATCACTTATATTGTTGCATGTATTTGCCAATTTCTTTTTACTTTTTAGATAACAGATCATTTTAATGTTGTATCAACTTTTCTTTATATTCCTGTTTATTGAATAATAGTGTTTGCTTGCTTTTCTCAAAAAAATGTCACAATTTCATGAGAATGGAGACAGTGTCAGCCTGATTCAAGTATTAATAACCCTTTGAAAAGTTTCTGTGGAAAAAAACATTGAATTTTTTCAAATGAAAGTTTAGAAAATATTTTTTTCCCATATCATGGAGGAGATGTCACCTACAAAGCCATTGTCATTAGAGCTATGTAAGAAAAATGAGTACCATCAGTTCCCTGTGCCTCCTTTTACAGACAAAAATCAGAAGCTCAGAGGTTTTGGATGCGTTTTTGAGCCCAGGCAAAAGGGCAGATCTTTGACCTCTTACTTCGATCTCTTATAAAGGCTAATGTTGTATTTTTTCACTGTTGTTAAATATTTAGCTAAATTCCTGAAATAATTCCCCTTCCTCTTCCCCTTCCCCTTCCTCCTCCTTTCCTCCTTCTTCTTCAGTATTTATTTGTATGTTTTACTGTTTTACTTATTATAAAAATCATGTCCTTACTCTAATACATGCTAGTTGTGGTAAAAATGAAGAAAATACAGATTAATTCTTAAAAAAGATAATAATGATACTTTGGGTTCCATCATCCTCTGGGGCCTTTGAACATTTTTGTGTAACCTTCTCATCTCTTCTCTGTGCATATGTGATTCTAGAATTTATATGTTGCTTATAAAATTTTATAAAATAGAATACATTTGTTAAAATTTTAATGGCTTTATACTTATATCATAAATATATTCTACTTCATTTAATGACTTCTCTACTGTTATTTTGTTCATTTTTAATTCATTTTTATGTTTTAATTGCAAATACTGTGAATCACCTTAAATATTTAGTTGTATGATTCTGATTTGTATATCAAAATGGTTTTACTTAAGCTTTGTTTTTTTCATGAGGACCTAGGATTTCACCTCACTGTATAACCTAATGGTTAAAATTGCATTATGAAACAGATTAAATGTATATAAAAGGGGAGAATTTTATATACACTCTACTCATACATTGCCAGGCTAATTTTTATCATATAGATTTAACTTGACCTCTAAAAATAATACGTATCTATTAAGGCAGAAGTCTCTCCCCCTATTGTGTCTACTTAGCATCTACTAAGTGCTGGACCCATGTCACCTTTTTCTGTAGCATGTTTTCTCCTTACTCTTCCTATTTAAAAGGCTGTTTTGATTAAAGATGTATAAGGTGAGCGCTGGATGGATTAGGCTGCACACAGCTCATGAAAGGTTGAACCTGGGTTCCAGGGGGTGTGACGTCTCATCCCAGTCTGCCTCATACTGTCCTCGCTTCCACGTCAGTAGTCTTCTGTCCCGGGAAAGCCTCATTGGCAGCGTCACAGGTCTGCACACAGGTCTTGGGGCCTCCTCTGCAGCAGAGCAGTGTCTGGGAGACGGTGACGGAATGACTGCTCCCGGGGTCGGTCATTCTTGGTCGTGAAAGTGTCCAGCCCCATATAACGCAGGCTGTTTTCTTCTCCAGGCCTCTTCATGTGCTTGTGTGCAACGCTGCGGTGTTTGGTCTTCCCTGGAGCCTCACGAAAGATGGCCTGGAGACCACCTTCCAGGTGAACCATCTGGGCCACTTCTACCTGGTCCAGCTCCTGCAGGACATTTTGTGCCGCTCGGCCCCTGCCCGTGTCGTCCTGGTCTCTTCTGAGTCCCATAGGTGAGTTTGAACTTAACTGTTTCCAGGGACGCATCATCTACAGCTCCCCTAGGGCTCTGTGCTGGGGTGACTTCTGGTTAGGCCTACAGTACTCCCAGAAGCCCAAGTGGATGAGTGGCTGCAACCTGCCTCCTTCATTCTTCTCTCTTGTTTTGCCTGTGTGAGTGTGGGCAAATGTTGGGGAACTGTCTCTAGCAATGTGCAGTGTTTTTACAACTGTACTTCAGGCTCCTCATTGATTTAGCTTAGAGATGGAATAATAATTGATTAAATCTGAATGCCGTGACCTTTATTGATTTGTAATTCAACAACTTCAACATCTTACCAAGAAGAATGTGCAGTTATTCTAGCAGGAGAAACAATGCAATTAAAGGCTGTGCGATGAAATCCAATTGTTTTATAATGAGAAATTAGGGAATTCAATGCAGGCATTAGCTGTGTAATTGTGGAAAGGGAAGTACTGTAGTTAGAACATATTAGAAATCTGGCCATGCCTCTTTTGGTTAAAATTTCAATTAAAACATCAGATGGCACTTCTCTTCTATTACCATTAGGAGAATATTCAATTGACTAAAAAAGACTTTTGAAAATTTCGTCGTATTTTCAGCATATTTGTTTCTGGAGTTGGATAAACAACTATTTGTTTAAAAAGAAGCACTCAGGAAAGACAAAGGACTTGCCGGGCGGGTGAGGCTGGTTTTAATACTTGTTTGGGAGATTTCTTTTCCCATTTGCTTGGTGTGGGCATTGGGAGAAGCTTTTTCTCTGTAGCAGAGTAGCTGGAAATAAAATATTGTGCACAGTCCTATTTTCCCCCTTCTTCTCCCTCTTAAGTCCTGAGATGTTTTAGTGACCCAGAATGAAGCTTATTTTTTTAAATATACTTCCATAAAATGTAACCCCTTCAACTTGGAAGAGAGAGACCAGCCAAGGGTTAGCTTGAACCCTTTATCACTCCCAAACACAGGGGCTTATGGTGTAAGTGACACGCTACAGAGAGATTTACTTTTACCATTTTAAATTTATGATGGCTGAAATGAAAGGGAAATGCCAGTAATAATCCTCCCCCGTGTGAAAAGACATGAATCATCTAGTAATTAGGTGGTAACAAAATCTGGACAGCCTTATCTTTGCAAATCACACCAGGTTTGTGAAAGAAAGTAGAGTGGCCTGTTAAGGAGCTAGGGAGGCTACCATGGGGGCAGCAGGAGAGAGAGCTCTAGAAATAAATCTGCCAGCCCCAATCGTTTGCCAGATGTGGAGGGCACCACGGGATATGTTTAAATGAGCTGGTATTTAATGGGGGATTATGTCGAATTGTCAGCTGCTGGCTTCCCCTTGTAACTCTGTACCTCCAGTGCTATTCCATGTGACGTCTTTGTTCTCTCCTTAACTGCCATGTAATTCATGCCTACCTTGGAGATTGGAATCTTAATTTCATTTAAAAGATGCATTTGGAAGCTAGTGCCTCGGCCTGAATTAGATCTGTTTCAGTTTCTAGACAATGCCTTCCTGAAGTATGTGGTCAGGCCCACTTCTGTCTGAGGGCTGGCTCTGGTTTTCCGTTTCCCAGTTATCCTTCACACATTATTAAGGGGTGTTTCTACAAAATGCTAATTCCCACAAGCTTGCTTGTTTATTATACTTGCTGTATGCCTTGGCCCCCAGAGTGAGCTGTATACCGGGGCAGCTTGTGACTCAAGGACCCAGAGTCCTAAACCAAGTTGTAAAATACAAGTGTTGATATCTAATTACCTCCATAAACCTTGGTGGAATCTCTTCGTTGGAGTCAAGACCCCCTGTTAGGGGAAAAATAAAGTCCTATGTTTGCAGAAAATATTATGCTAGACTGCCCCTAGGCAAAATATTTATTAGCTTCCCTGTGTCTTCACTGTGTTTTACTTACTTACCTGGAGTCTTAGCAAGTGAACTGAGTTTCTGCCTATCTAAAATATATCATATTGAAATGAGAATTTGACTTCTTGCTGTGAAAAATTTTCAAATAACAATTATAACAAAAAGAGTAGAGCACAGGCTGAACTGCCCTGAATGACTACGCGCGCGCGCGCACACACACACACACACACACACACACACACACACACACACACTGTTATGCATGTAATCACACACGCACACACTCACATGAAATTTCACATGCGAATTTAATCCTGTTCTTTAATTGCACTAGCTTTTGTGTGTGTAGAGTCCATCCTAATGATTTCAGTCTGGGAATTTAAGACTTCCTCAGTTTAAAGGAAAATGAAAACGAAAATGTATGGAAGTGTGAGACAGCCAGATTCTCCCAAAGCAAATGCTAATGTCTACAGGGGAAACATGATATTTTAGTGTATTGACAATGCATGATTCTATTAAGACCTTATTGTTTGTCTTTGTCAGTTTCTCAACTTGAAAATAGAGCAGGGCAGCCTTTGAAGAGTTGTTTATTGTCTATTGAGCAAAGAGGTGACGTGGTGACTTTTCTGAAGGCCTGCCTCGGCTTGGGGGGACCTGAAATGTGCCCAAGCAGAGAGCTCCCTTTCGCGCTTTCCACAGGAGCCCTTCTGACCTTCTGACCTTCACTGTGGGTTTCTGCCTCCCTTCTACCTGTGCTTCCCAGTCATGTGATACTTTTGTATCTACCTTAAAAGCAAAAGTAGCAACAGAAAATGCAGCAGAGGATTTGAACCTAGGGGTAATTTTGCCTTTCAGGATTCAAAGCAAGACTTTGTAATAAGGGAAACTTTCCTGTAGTTTGGAATTCTAATCTCACCTTGGAGGGGCAGCAACTTTATCAGGCACTAAGAATGATGTCACAGACTGGATCTGGAGAGTGGATGCTTGATCTTCATTGAAACGTGCATTTGTATCTGCTTTGCATAGCCTCTTTCAGTCTGTTCACCACCACCACCACCACCACCACTATGACCACCAAAATCACTGTCACGTTTATCCAGGGAGGTAGGAGAGCTTCCCGGGAGAAGCAGTTCTTGAGCTGCATTTGCCAATGGCAGAAAAGGCTTCTGTCAGTAGTGAATGAAGGAAGGGTGCAGGGTGGGGAGAAAGGATGTTACAGTTACTCCATATCTTTTAGGTATTGTCTAAACTCTGAATGTTCCTTTCCATCTGAGAAGGTAGGGTTGGTTCCCGATAGCTCCATTTTTGACAGCTGTTCTTTAGCACCTTATTACTCTGTTGAAGTAAAGTTGAGAAATAATATAAATTCCCTGTACAAACACATTTTTAAATTTACTATGATACCAGAACTGTAATACAAAGAAAATATAAATGTGAAAAGAAACATGTGTTTCCACATGTAAGTGCCTGGTCAGGACTGCAGGGAAGATGATCAGATGCACGTGTGTGTGAGTAAATCTTCTCGGTGGAACACTCACGTATGGCCGTCAGCAGGTGTGGGGCGCTGCAGCTCTGGGGCCACCGGTGGTGAGTTCCAGCCTCACAGTGCAGCAAATCCCGCAGCGCCCGAGAGTGCATTCATTTCTCCTCATTTGCAGCATGGTTGCCAATTCACTGCAGTCCTGGAAATTCAGTGGATGGTATAACTGCTCAAGTGTAAAACAGGCTGGAGGTGCAAATTTTAGACTCAGGCTCTCTGTCTGCACAGCTGTCCAGTGGCATGGTCCTCAAGGGGTCAGACTCCACTGGCATTGCAGGATGCCAGCCATCCTGGCCTCCACCAGCAATCATTATTTCCAGCACAGAAAGGTCTAATTAAATTTTCAAATTTCCTGCTGAGTTCTACTGCTTTAGATAGTGAAACTTGTAGGTTTAGGCCCTTCCTGTGGTTCGGGGAGTTGCAAACAGGCAGACCACGATTACTTTCAAGGGCTCATTGCTGTGTCCTTGATGACGACTCTGACCATCAGCTTTGTTGGTGACTTCCGAGCCTCAATGTCACTTAATGCTAGAATTTTGATGTCACTGCCTGCATCCAGGAGAAGGGATGCTTAATTATTTAATTTCCACTAAAGCATACATTTCCTTTGTCTGTGTTACTTGTTTTTAGCCCAAGCTGATCTGCTTCTAGAAAGGAACAAGCAGCTTTTCCATAAGTTTCATTTTGCCTTAGCCTTTTTCTGGAATAGCCTCACTTTGCTGTCTTACACCCAGTGCCCAGAGTTAATGAAGCAAAATAAGAGATGTCCTTAAACAAAGATCAGGCTATCTAGAAAATGTTTTTTGTTTATTGTGATCCAAATATTTTGTAAGTCATACCTACTTTGAAAGAGAGAAAGGAAAGAAAGAAAGAGAGAGAGAGAGAAAAGGAAACAAACAGCTGGTGTTTAACGACTCCGTCAGACCCAATTATAAAACATCAACTAGTTACTTTGATTTGTGTGTCTACATGCCGTGGGTATACTTAAAAACATTACGCTCTGCCAGCACTCATTTTGGCTTGTTTACATTTATCTTTCAAATGTATAAGACTATTGATGGCACCTCACCAAGGTCACCACCCCTTTATAATCATTAATTTTTAATCTGGAAAAGAGTGGTGGAAGCTGCACCACTGCTCCCTGTATTTACTTGGGAGCTCGAATGAAAATACACAGAGCTCAAATACGGGCTAAAATAATCCAGGAAAGCTCCGCCAAAGGTCAGCAGTGTGATATAAGTCTGTTTCCAAAAGCAGCAGCCCTTTATTTAAAATACTTTCCCATTTAATTTAATCATCCTTGAACTTCCTGTTGAGGGTTTTGAAAAATACATGCAGGGGTGTGGGGAGCGCAGCATGTGGAAGACGGCGGTATGAATGTGGGCTTAGACTTCTCCATTTTTGGGTCCAGTTGTTTGGCCTGGCTAAGTCACCATTGTCCATTTTTAAAGGCATGATTTTGGTATACGCGGGGTTGACATTTCAGCAGCCTCTCCACTGCTTCTTCAGATTTGTAATAAAACTAAAAAGTCACACGCACGAGAAGTTGCAGGGTGGTTGCTTCATGTCCTATCTCTTGCTTTTCAGATTTACAGATATTAATGATACTTCGGGAAACCTTGACTTTAGCTGCCTATCTCCATCGCGAAACGACTACTGGGCCATGCTGGCCTACAACAGGTCCAAGCTCTGCAACATCCTGTTCTCCAACGAGCTGCACCGCCGCCTGTCCCCACGCGGGGTCACATGCAACGCCGTGCACCCGGGGAACATGATGTATTCCTCCCTGCACCGCAGCTGGTGGGCCTGGACGCTGCTGTTCACCTTGGCGAGGCCTTTCACCAAGTCCATGGTAAGTGGACGGCTTCCGGCATCGTGCACACCTTCAGCACACTGTCAGGATGGCCCTCCTGGCTTGTCACTAAGAGTTTGGGCTCCTGGACCACACCAGCGGGCCTGTCCAAGCCTTGCAGAAAGGCTCCTGAGCATACTTGCGTCAGCCGCAGATTGAGTCTTTTTCTCTGAAGAAGCCTGGGAGGCTGGATAGGAGGTGTGGTTTTTGTATCCTCTGGAGGATGGCAGATGGTCTGGATGGAAGAGATGGTGTGTTTCTTTCTGACGTGATTTCTCTTTTGACTGTGAAAAGTTTAAAATCTGTTGTGGTGCCTGCATCCCTTGAGAACTCTGTTAATAGGTGAAAATACAGGTTTGTGGTTTGAATCATGAGCGGGTGTGTTTTTGTGTGTGCATTCACAGCAAATCTGTATCAGATGTTTTGATTTTTCTTTTAGTGGAGAATTTGTGCAGTGTCTTCTGGAGGAGACTTTGTGGCTATAGTGGACCTTATTCTTTATGTTCCCCAAAATAAATCTTCTTGAGTGAGTTACTCTGCTGTGGTTAGAAGTGTTCATGGAGGTGAATAGGCAGTTTTTACATTTTCGGTGGTTGTTTATCAACGGTGTCTACAAACTTCTACGGAAGTATTTTATTAGAAAGTAATTTGAAAGCAGAATGTACATTTTACACCGTATATTTAGTGGCCTGTTCTCCTAAACCATAGATCTTTAAAAGTGCTTCCCTCTTAATGTACACCAGGATTTCAGTTCCTGAAACAGAACAGTAGTACAACAGAAATTACCCTTTCCTCGAAAGCAGATTGGCCCTTAGAAGTGTCACCAGCGGGCTGTCGTGCAGCTTGATCTCACGGCCACTGAGCAGAGACGGCTTCCTCTCCTTCGCCTGCTCCCACCCGTCGTCTGACCTTCTTGTTTGTGTGTAGCTTTTAAAAGAGTAACACACAGGTTCAGAACTCTGAGAAGCGAGTCAGTGCGTGTTTTATTCCAGTCACCACAGTGGTGTTAGTAAATGTGTTCCAGAATCAAATACTTAACACCAGGAAAGGGGGAGAGAAGAGATATGGAGAGTATTCTCCACTTCCTGGGATAAAGTTGATATCTGAAAATAGATGAGCAAAACTCACAGTGCCAGGGTTTAGAAATTTCCCCACTGCTTCATTCTCATAACTGGGGAGGAGCAGATCACTCTACGCAGCGCTCTGCGTGATAATAATTATGCCTGTTAGGAACGTGGGTCTCAACTTGGGCAAGTCACTTTGGGTTTCTGAGTCTGGCTACTTACAGCTGAAGTGTTGATGGTACATGTGCTATAATGTTGCTAGTGATGAATGAAGTATGCATAGTCTTGGAGATACAGTTTCTGCCCTGATTGTAATCTGGTAACTTGCGTGGTACCCACTGGCCATGTGTGGTTGTTGAAGTTTTGAAAGATGGGTAACTGAAATTTTTATCTGCATTTCTTTCCAACTAGTTTTAATTTTACAAACCCACATGGACCTAGCAGCTGCCATAGTGGAGATCACAGTTAAGTCAAGGGCCTATCACAGAGCCTATTGGTGATAGTTGTGTAGCATTTTTGCCAAGATGGCCATTGTTCTTGTTCTAAAATATTGGTCCTTAAGAGTGTTTTCCAAAGTGTGGTCATTGCTGATGGGTACAGCAAGCATCATGGGGCTTAAAGGAGTCTGTAAATTGGGTTCCTAGTGGAAGGTATAGGGGAGGAAGGGATTCTATCTCTGACTGCAAAGGCCCATGGAGAGGGTTAGTGGCAAGGACAGAAACTTGTCTCGTTAGAGAAGGCCTGATTTGATGATATCCAGCCTGCACATCTGGTCTCTGGCCCTGTATAATTGGTGCTATCACACCATTTGTATTCTAAAAATGGTCCTTTTTAAGAAGATAAACAAAAGGATTAAGAGGATTGTAGACTATGTATCTGAGTTTAGATTCTTGTTAAAATCCTCACTAATGGTGGCTGGGAATTTAGCTCAGTGGCATAAGCACCTGCCTTGCAAGTGTGTGGTCATGAGTTTGATTTCCAGTACTGATAAAAAAGACAAAAAAGACAAAAAAAAATCCTCACTAACAATATATTTACACATTTAGGTTCTTATGAATTTTAGCCGCGGAGGTTCCATTTTACTCGGTATATGAAGAGGTGAGATGGAGGCTGTGAACTGACTTATCAAACTCATGACCAGTCACTTCTTGGTGCTACACACATAGGGCTCTGTGTGTCCATGGAGGAACAGCAGTAGATCTTGGTCATTTTCATTGGCAGGGAAAGAGGGCTGCTTAGAAAGGTCGCTCTTGCGTGCTAGCCTGTGTAGGTGGCTTGTCATGCCTACACTTGCAGTGAGGCAGTTGTTTCTTGGGTAACAGTTGCACTGCAGCCGTGTTCATGCAAACATACTTTCGGACAGGACCATGCACTGGATCCCCGTTCCCAGCCCATGTCAGGCTGGATTCCTAAATGTGCGTGGAAAACTCAGCATGGATGCAGCGCCCCGTTACAGATGGCTAGCGCTGCTTTCGTGAGCATCGTAGCTCCATCTGCGTTTCCCTTACACAGAGGGCTTCCTTCTGAGGTGAGCGTGGCTGGGGGGCACTTTCTGTCCAGTGAGGCCAAGAAAAGGAGAAGCCCAGCCCAGCCTGTGCTCAGGAGCCCCGTCTCGGCTTCTGCACCACGGCTGACTCCCTTAAGCATTAAACAGCAGTATTCTAATATCAACGTCCCTTTTTTATTTGCTGTGACTTGCTGTGACTACGGTGATTTTAGTTACAGTAATTAGGTCACCCTTCATGGAGTCAGGCTATTTTAAGTGCCTCTTTAAGGAATATTGTTGCAGATCAGTAATTTTACAATTGGATGTTCTTGTGCAACTTTATTAAATGTAATCTGTCTTTTAAATGTTGCCCTTTTACAGTTATACATTTCTAATTGTTGCTGTAAATGCATTATCACTTTGAAATTAATTAATTTTTCCATTTTGGCCGCCTGCAGTATAATAATCACTAATGAGAAACTCAAAGGGATTAATTCTCAGCACAGCGACCCCTTCTGACAAAACCACATCTCTGCTGCCCTCTTTAAGAGATCCAGAGTCTGGGACAGGTGTACTAGGGATTACAGAAGGAAGAAACATTTATTTTCACTTCCTCTAATTTATAATGAAGTAGAAATAGTGGATGAAAGGATTATTTTAAAATGTAGTTCCAAAAAGATGCAGAATTCGTTAGCAGCTGCCTCTGAAATACCTTAAAGGAAATTAAGGCTTTTGGACAGTTTTCTCCACTGAAGCCACTTCATAGGTACGTTTTGTTTCCTTTCCTGTCCCTGTAGCTTCTTTTATTCAATTAAAATACTCGAAAATTATATCTTACCTGTGCATGTGTTAATGTGTATTAGTTTCTATGGTTTATTTTTACATGCATATTACCTCACAGTGTTTAATTCACGAAACCTGACATACGGAATACTCTGGCAACCTAAGAGAGCTTCTGGGGGAATTTTGACTGTCTCAGGTCTTGCACGCGTGATGATTTTGGAATCTTACCCTACTCCTGTATGCGATGCAATTTGGCGGTTTAAGCCAGATACCACGATGTTTTACAGGTCAGAGTCTGTGTTCCCACTTAGCCCTCCTAACAGTTCTGCAGTGCTAGATTATTATTGTTACTTTTTCAGTTGGAAAACACCGAGAGCTTACCCATCTTGTTTAAGAATGTTGAATTCAGTTTTCAAAACCGTCGCCAGTTACTCCCAGGTCCATTTATTGTGTCAAATGCACCCTAGTGCCCCTGCCATATGTATCTAATTGTGCAGTTAAGTTTCCTTAACATGTTTGACAGCACCTTCATGAAATCCATCCCCGTCTTTTTCCACATAAACTCTGAGTTCTGGTAAACAACATCTCTGCCAGAGGTCCTTGGTCCAGGCCAGCTCTGTGTGGATCGGCATGTAAATTTGAAGCTGAGCACTGTCACGTGCCTCGTAGGGTGTTTTGTGCAACCAAATATTTGTGTTGGCAGGTAACAGTGGAAAGCATATCATGTGTTAGGGTAGCAAGAGCTTAGCAGATGTTTTAGAGAACTGCGTTTTCAAATCATTTTACATTAAGGAAAAAAAGACTGGAGTTTGTGGAACTTCTGAAATGATTGGGTTTCGTTTCCTGTGGATGTAAAGCCAGTCATTGTGCTGAGTTTTAACAGATGTGCGGCTCCCAGCTAATGGATGGACCTGCATTGCTAGTTCTGTTGCACAGTTATAAATTATTACTAGAAAAAAGCACGAGATGTCATTCTTGTAACCTTCAGGAAAGCCAAGCTGGGTAATTCTGCCCTTGAATAACCTGCAGCAGGGTGATTTATAGACACACAATTTAAAACATAATGAATGAGATAATAGATGTTGATTTGTTCTTTAAATTAGTATTTTAGAAAAACACTTCTCCCCCTTAACCAATTTAAATACCTGCTGCTGACCACACTATAGATTTCATCAAGGACAAAACCTTTCTGTTTGCTCTTTATAGGCTGTGGGTGTGTCATGCACAAGGCAGGGAGAGAATACTCTTTTTTTAATGCTGGGAGATAGAAATGCGATTTGTGAAGTGGAAATTTCAGGATGTTCTTCACTCATCTATGTTGAGACTCCTGAATGAGTAGAACTCTTGGGCCATGTGGCTCTCGCCTGTCCAGGTTTATTAGCAAAGTAGACTCTCAGGACCGCTCTGGTCTGGGCCACACATGAGCTCTCGGGCAGCCATGCCTGTGGTGCGCCCCCCAGCGCTGCTGCTCCCCACACAGCTCTCCAGTGTTCTTCATACTCTCCAGGGCTATCATCTGTGCTGGTTTTATCTGTCATCTCTCAGTTCTGAACGGCGGTTGAAAGTTTACACTGTTTGCTTAGTCCTGGGGCAATGGATATGGTAGTTGGAAAACAGTAGAAGGTTTGGAATCATGAGCCCTGCATATCCAAAACTCAGTTTTCTCC